GTAAACAACGAATTCAGAACACGGCCTATCCGTACAAAGATTCTTGACTGTTCACGAAAGACTAGACGAGATGGACACTTCCCTACTGTTTTGTCCTTGTCCATGCTTCCATACAGCCAACGAGACGACTGAGGTATATTGCACCAGCCTGTATAGGAAACATGTTGCTGAATGTTTCAGCAGCAGCCTAACAGAAATAGGTGCTGTAGTGTTCCATTGTATGCAGTGCTCCCATGCTGCCAACGCGTGTTGTTGGGTGATGTTATTCTGGGGATATGATCCGCTAATATGCAACCATCCATTCACAGAGCCAGGGCACTCCCCCGTTGACAAGCCCCGAAGACGTACCAAGCCCTTTTCCAACTCGGTTCCTGCTAACGTCAGGTAACCGAATGATGAAGGACTCTGTCTTGAGTGCCTGTCGTTCGGCTTTTGGGGAACAGCCAGATATTTGGTATGATTCGTCTCGGTCTGACGCGAATCGAGTTCGTATCTTCTCGGTGAGTACCTTCCAGGAGACAGTCACGACAGGGCATGTGTACGATTCTTACGCGGGCAATAAACACAGAGTCGTATGCCATGGAAGTCAGGTGCCAGTCGGCTGCCATTACAGAGACCTCTAACCGTCCCGGGTTCCTTGCCCACTCTGAAGAGCGAGCGATAAGCAAGGTGAATGGCCAAAGACGAAAGAGAATGTGATGTCACCTACGGCAGTCAGCTACCAGTTCCGTACGGAGTATAAGCGTTAATTAGTTCGGGGTTCGAGATACAGCCGCGGGGCCTCCGAGCAGTCGGAAAGCTTGGCTCACTTGGATACGACTCAACCCCTTGATTTCGTCTGCCGTCGAATTACAGATGATTCGGGTTCAGCGTTTGGAACGGTTCGGTTGGCTTGAATAATGATCGAAATGAAAGGCCTTCAAGACTGGGCAAAGTAAGATGATGTTGCTTGTGGTTTTCTCTAATCGCATTTATATCGGTTTATCGGCTCGTCTCTTGCACTAGGATTTAAAGTGCTGAGGCGCAAGAGAGGAAGAGGCACAGCCGAATGGTGTCATAGCCCGTTGACGATCGGCTTCCGCAAGGTCGCAAAACGCCATTCGTGCCAAGTTATGCCGCTCTGTCTCTTGAAACTTGAGCTTCATGCGCCGAAAGATGGAGTTTAGCGAGGTTGTTTCCGAACGAGACGTCAGAAACCAAGTAGGACGGGACTCAACACCCTCAAGATGTGGGGGCTCGTTAACAGTCCCTACCACAACTGGGAGGAATATCGAACTGTGGAGGGACAACGGTTTTCGGTTAAGGCTGATCATGGCACAAAGTCCATGGTTCACCTTGCGTATACCTCATGTCGGTGCTGTTCGGTGAGAAGGCCTTGTACGACAAACGTGACCAATGATCTCATAGTGGCTAGCATACGAATGGTGAAGCCGCCGTCAACGTTGAGTTAGTCACTGCACCATGATCAGTGGCTAGCGAGTAAGCTGGCTTAATAAACACGCCGCGGGGACCTTGATCGATGTTGAACGGAGGTTTTTGTGATGGCGTACCCGTGAGGATGAAGCCTGTCTTGGACCCTGGTATCCGCACGAAAGTCGAGCATGCCAATGTCCATGACATATTTATCAGGACTTTCATGGGCCAAGTCCGAGGGCATGACGGATATGCTGTCGCTCGTCTAGTCATGCCCTGTCCAGTGACCAACCCAGTCGCATCCCTTGGCTGGCAAACCACTAGGACATGGGTAGAATTAGGCACCACTTTAGGGCATGGAATCCGAACAATACCCCTTGTGTGGCTGTCACTGAGCTGCAGGCCAGCCCATCTGAAGCCTCGTTACAATGTCCCACAGCATGTCGCACCAGAGGGCCTTTTGCACGGCCGGCATCGAGGATGAGCCTCCACCGATTGTCCATGATTATCTGGCTGCCTGGTGACAGAGCAAGCGAGCCAAAACAAGGTACATCTGGTAGTAGTTTGGCCGAAAAGCTTCGAGAAGGCGCGGAAGAAGGAGGGACCTTTGTTGCGCCAGACTCCGAGAGTGGCCGGGAACGGGCCAGAATTGCCCCGGTTGTGGCCCACCAAAGGGAGCGGGATGATGCCCCTGAAGAGTCGTCGTACAAGTGCAGTATGTACATACTCGGTGCTTAGGTGGGTACACGTGGAGTCTGCGGCTGTTGAGGCCGATGTGCTTTGCATGACTTGACATGGTTTGATCGCATGTTGATGTGTAATCGTGGAGATGAATTGTTGTTGTTTGGATGAAATGAGGGCGGGAAGCAAAGATGAAGGGATGAAAGTGGAATGGTGAGAGTTCGTGGGGCCAACTGCACGCCGGGATGCCCTGTGAACAGTGTGGATAGCCCCCCGTAGCCGTGGTGACTGGGCTGAGTACAGCGGATGTAGCCTTGTGGGATCCCGCTAAAGAGTGGGGTCCATCTCCAGGGCACTAACTTCCAGGGCTCCAGATCTGCCTCTGCGCCTTGTCCACTTCCCCGCACCGTTCAAATCATGACTAGAATTTCCAACTCACTGAATTCACTTTCACTGTCTCTCTGCCGTGTTGACATTATTCCTACCACTAGGCCATCACATCACACCACTTCGTTTTCCTTTTTCCCGTCCGACTCAACGCGGACATTCACTAATCACTCCTCTCACGTCTCAACGACCTCTGCCTGCAATCGGACACATACTTGGGGGCCGAAAGGGGAACCTCAACCAACCTGTCGATGGCCTCAAACCCAACATGTCGGGTCTCCCTTCTCTGGTCGCACCTTTTGCATCACACACGGGCAAAATGGGGGCCATTATTACTACAACACTCTTTTCCGTCGTCTTTCGGAAGCCCGTTCGACCACTCCAACCACTCGGAATGTATTCCAGCATTGACGAGGTTCCATTGATTCCGTTGCTGAGAAGAGCATCATCTCACGCCCATCATCAGCCCGAGTCCCCTTCATCCCAGAGAAAGGTGCCCATCGCCTATTCGTAATGCCGCGTCTGTTGTCGGCCGCTCGACCACTCAGACGGCTTCCCTGTCCAGAAAAACAGGCGCAAGCGCTTGCCTCCCCCACATCATGGGCACACCCATTCCACCTCCTTGCCATTACACTACAAGCAGTTGGGCCAAGAAGCCAGGGAGCCGAGTCGACACACTGTCCTCCTCTGCCACACCGGGTTCAACAGATTGCGCCCCAAGGTACCCGTGGATGGCGCCCCCGGGTGTCGTGCTTGCCATACCGTCCTCACAAACTGCCACTTTACACTGTTGGCCGAGTCATCATACTCATCCCACCCAGCGATGGCTTTTTCCCTGGGGTACATACGGATGGAAAGCTCAAGTTCAAGAAGCCCGTTCTCTCTGGAGAGAAAAGAGGGATATCCATGAGTTGACTAGCTATCTATCCCCTACGGATTGGCTACCCGAACAACCCCGTCATGACACGTTCTTGACAGGGCAACGACGTCTCGGGTCTTCTTGACCAGACCCTTCCCGCACAACGGAGACCGAGGAGGCTGCATGGACATGTCTTCTGTTGCTAAAACCCAACAGAGTCTTGAGCCAACATTGTCCCTCGCGAGCTCACACCAATCATCCAGCCAGGGAGTCAGGGGGGTGCCGTGAGCTGCTGTGTGACTGGCCACCCAGCCCTGTTAGCGGGTCCTGGCTGGCCCTCCCAAACAAGCCATGGATCTTACAAGTGCCTGTTGGGACTCCGAGTAGGAGGTTCCATGCCAACAGCGAATATCTATACAAAGCCCCAAGGTACCACTACGTCCCTTCAGCTACCCAGCGAGGTCACTCCAGTAACGGGGAGATACCGCAGCCTCTACTTTTATTAGATCGACCTCCTTCTGCACCCCTGATAGGTATACTTCCTCCGTCCGAAAGGTAGCACCTTACTGCATCGAGTTCTATTTTCCCCTCCTGGCTCATCATCCATCCTGCTATTTTCCGAGTCCGTCATCTTTGTACACTGCACTCGGGGCCCCCTGGTCTATTCCGGGCACTGTAAATCTCCCCACCCCTACGCTACACTGCCTATCTTCACACACAGATTTGGGACTCGGTGTTTCCTCAGTCTGGATGAGACTCTGAGCCAACATGTTTCTTTTTCCACCCAACCTGTAACCGACCGGGACAAGACAGGAGCTTGTTCTGCAGGAATCCTATTTCCCAATCTGGGTGGTGTCAAGCGAGCTTGTAACCCAAATTAGTCCTCAATTCTTAATCGGTACATGGGCTGTCATGTTCTTTTTCCTCTTCTAGGAACTTCAATCACACACACTCTCTCTCTTTGCTAGCCTTACCTACCCCATGCGCAGCCACACCACCGCAAACCCCATGTCTCTACTCTCTAGTGAGAACGAGGTTGAGGTTCCACTTGCCTTGCTACATGCTGCCCATGTCTCTTCTTCTCATCCTTCGTACTGTGTGTGTAGTCAAGTCCAAGGTAGTAGGTATGTCGGCCCCTTGCCCAGTCATCTGCATCCCCATGATGCGCATCTAGCCCCCAGTTTCTATGGGGAAGCTCTCTGTATAGCAGCGCTTACTCCATTCTTAGCCAGGCAGAAAAGATGGTCCTATTACAGACGTGTATAAGACACCCTGGTTGTCTGCCTTGTCATCCACACCCGTTGTTCTGTGCTTCCACAGCCTGCCTCACATCTTAGGATCACCACTCCTTACCAGTAGTATACCAAATACTTGGCCCAACTCCCAATACAAGATCCGTGCCAACCGGCTACCATCCGCCCATCCCTATATCTGGCTCGCACCCCATCCTTTCATAAGGCAAAGCCCCCCTTGACTGCGTCTAACAACCCAATCGGACCCCCGGCACATCTTACTCGGCACCTTCCCCCCTAGTTTTCGCTCCCCAACAACAAAAACGTCCATCGTGTGTCATCGTGTCCATCTTCAGTCTTACGAATTCGTATATAATCGAACATCAGCCAACATCCTCCCACCCCCATCAACTAAAAAGATCTCAACCATGGCTTTCACTCCACCATCTCTGACCAGGTCGCCCTCAACCCCCTCGCACAGCTACTGCCCTTCCGAAAGGTCTTCAGTTGATTATCCCTCGCCCGCCCAAGTGGAACAGCAATACAAGATCTCGTCCATATATGGTGACCAGTCCTGCTCCGTGACTTCGTCTATGGACCCGGGGTCATCACTACCGCCGCTTGAATCAATGGGTCAACCCGACTGGAACAGCACCGTCATCCTTCCTGCCTCCTCCGCCACCGGTATGCCTAGCATCCTCGCCGCAGAGTACGGGCCATATGCGGGTTATCTATACAGCCACGATGTTTACCACTCTCACCACGACGGGCATGCTCTTTCAACCTCTACGCCGCCGCCTTCCGGCCCGTCATCCCGATCTCCGATTCCACCTGCATCGAGGACGTCACTTTCCTACCATTCAAACACATCGATGGGTGGTCAACTAACACCGCGGGTTAAGATGGAGACAGAATATGGGTCAAGCATGGAAGTCTCTCATTACCCCTCGCCTCGTTCGATGAACACATCATACCCTTCAGACGGCGGCGCCTACACACACAACACCACAGGTTATCTCTCAGATGGAGGATCATCCTACCAGCCTCTCGAGCCCGAGTTCTATCCGGGCCCCGGAGCCGCGCAAACATCAGCTTTCCTCCAAAACGGACAACGATCCTACCGAGTGCCCCGTCCCAAGAGGCAACAACGACGCCTGACGACCAAGGAGGAAGCTAACTTTCAGTGTGAGGTCAAGGGGTGTGGGAAACTATTCAGCCGAAGCTACAACTACAAGGCGCATCTGGAAACGCACGCGCCGAACCGAGACTATCCCTTCCCCTGCCAGGAAGCTGGTTGCACCAAGAAGTTTGTTCGCAAAACCGATCTCCAGAGACATCATCAGAGCGTGCACTTGAAGGAGCGTAGCCACAAGTGCGATTACTGCAGCCGTCTGTTTGCTAGGAAGGATACTCTGCGAAGGTAAGCCCTCTTCCCTCTCCTCAGACCATCTCAATCCTTTTATTTCTCTATACTTACAACGTTCTTCCGCAATAGACACATGGAAGATGGTTGCTCCAAGCGCTTCGACATCGGCACTATGGATCTCCGACCAGAAACCTACGATAGCTTCGCACGACCTTCTTCCTCAGGCCCCATGAGTCAGCACTATCCCGGCCTTTCGTCATCCGCCAACAACATGGGTGGCCTCCCGCCTATGGCCATCCCTTCCCTAGGCCGCAGCGGCATTCTCTCATCGCTGCCGCCTTCTATGAGGGCTGATGGTGGCCACCAGGCCCATTCTTGGGGGAGGTGATTTACCTTGCCCTTACCCCAAGTTCCATTATGTGTGTATCAAAAGATGATTGAAGATTTTTCTTTTTATGTTTCGCTTCCTTTTTCCTTCCATGTCTAGGTTGCTGTGCTGGAGATACCAAAAGGAGGAATTTTAGGGAGAGCGCGACACATACTCTTCGCTCGCTTGTACGAATATTGTGCTACTTTCTCTCTGTTCTGTTCGCCATTAGCGGGGAAAGGTTTTTTGTATCTGTTTTGATCGTTTCTGTTTTTCTTCTTCTTGTTTATCATGCAACGATTCATAAAGAGAGGTCCATCAGCCATGAATGGACGGACGGTTTTTTGGTTTGGTTTTCACTTGTTCAGGGCGGTCGGTTGGTTAGTTGGTCGGTCGGGCATAGAAACAATACACGGGTTACAGCGCGCGGGCGGCAGAGTTCTTGATTTTGTTTATCATTGTTTTTTTGTTTTTTTTCCCATCTTTCGCATGCAAGTTTACATTTAGCGTTCGGTTTCTTGTTACAAAGTTATCTTTCTCTTCTCGTCATTCGTTAGCATAGCTCAGCTTTCTCTTTCTGTCTATTTACCTCTGTTCTTTCGCCGGTACCACCAAATTTCTCTGCTTACTTTACTTCACCTTCTATCATGTCTGAACGAACAACGGCACACACTACTCCTCTTGTTTACTTCTGCACATATCTTACTCATGACAAATGCTGCGCATTAAGGAAACGAATAGACAGAAATACATACACACATTATCAGACCTCATTGTGATTCAACAGTTACACGAACTGTGCCCAAAGCCTGCCAAGACCTGCTGCTCCTTACCTTCCCTTCAATCACGAAATCTCTGAAAATAACAAGATGAAACAAGAAAAAAGGAAAGAGAAAAAGAAAGTTTGCGCGCCAACAACAAGCGCCTAACAAGCAAGCAAGCAAAGCAAAGTAAAGTGAAGTAAAGTGAAGCAGCACGCCGTTAAGATCCAAAAGGCCGGTTCGGCGTGATATGTACCTATGTAAGGAAGGTCAGGAAGGGTAAGTTAGGTTAGATCAGGAAGGAGGGGTAGGTATCGTTTGGCTTACATATGACCGACGATATGACAGAACACCGAAAGGTTGCTAGGTTCCGATGTTTGATTGCTCATCAGTCTCATCATATTCCATTGCGAATTATGTATCAGTTCGTCACAGGTTGTTTTGAATCCCAACTCGTCAGGGCAAGCTCGCACTTCTCTTCCCCCACTTTCGGACCTGGGAATGAAGGTTTAAGACACTATCACTGCCACTGGGCAACCTGGAGCAACCTGGAGCAACGTGACTGCCCTGTCTCCGTGTAAAACACGTGTTGTCTAGACCTAGTCGGTATTATTTCTTTTGCTAGAGAATTCTGATTTCAAATACAGCCACTAGTCTACTATGGCACAATCCAATCTTGACTAGGTAGGCACGCGGATCTATCCCCGTCGGTACCGACATGGTGGGAAGAAAGAAACCTTAATGAATGACGCCCTGCAGTGAACGCTCAGCCACGGAATATCTTATGGGTTATTTTTGCCGGTGTTTCGACGTTTTTGGGGTGGCTTAAGGCACTACCTTTGCCCTGCAGGGCAGCGTGGTGGTAAAAAATCATCTCTTTCTTTAGCGGGGCATTAGGTAAGAGGTGGGAGAGTAAGCCGCTCGGTACGCTTAGTTATCTTATGGGATGTCACTGAAAGAGTGAAGATACACTCACTCCACTTTGCTCAGAGGGTGTTAAGACTTAAGAGAACTACTTACAATCTGCCGTGGATTTTCTTTTCTTCTTCAACGCCTTGATTTTGCCTTATTTGAGATTCTCGGTGCCGAATGGCTTTTTTTTGCTCCCCGTTAGTGTCTAACGAACAACGTGTTGAGGCTCTGTGGTGTTTTGCTTCTTTGTCGCTGCTTACAATACCAAGAGCTTCAAGGAACTCGTCTTCTTGTTCGTGATCGTAGCTTGGGGGACTGATTGCTGATAAACCAACCTAGAAGGTATGTAAGAGCTACTTAGCTCAAGGGGGTGGCTTGGAACTGTCCGAACGAAGTGTAGAAGCACCTTACTTCCTAGTCAGTGCGAGTCTTCTCTTCCCACCAACTCTAGACTCAGACCTGGATAAACTGTCGGGTTTGGTAAAGGGTAAAGAGCTAAAGATGATAAGAGAAATATCCCGAGCCACAAGCAGGGAACAATGCACCGGGCCCGCGATGAGATGAGATGAAGTTGGTCCTTGACTTGCCTTACTGGTTTGACGACAAGGAGAAAAGGCCCTAGACTGGGACTAGGGGATTGTGATAGTGATGATGTTGACGATGCTCATGGTTACGGTGGTAGTACACAAGACTAGAGGTACCATTCCCAGGGACTCGGGTGGCTTAGAGGCCGCTGAATGGTTCGGTGTACATACAGAGGCCGGGGGCCGCGGGGCGGGAGACCGGTGGAACAGACCGACCGACGACCAGACCCACCGAGGGGCCAACGTGATTGATGTGATATACACTAGGCATGTAAGTAACGTTGTAAACTCTAAAGTGCCCATAATGGCCAGCAGTACCCTGTGTAAGTTTGATAGCATGCACACAGGGAACAGGGCAATATGGGGAGACTAGGTATTCCGTACCTGATTCTTCGCTGACTTTGCATCGGGCCCGGCTTCGTATTATCGTCAGCACCTTGTTATCAACCAACAAAACGCTCGATCACCGATATTAGGTTCTTGGGTGTTGGACTTTCATCGTTGCAAAGGGCGTTCAACAGTTCTTGATTCGTCGCTGGTGCGAAGATTGGAAGGTGCTCAGGGGTGGGGGCCAAAAACATGATGAGTGGAAAAAGGACCACACATGCTCCAGAGTAACTTCTGCCCACGCGGCCGCCGAGGTCACATTTGATTATTCGGACTTTTTTGATTCGACCTGAGCAGGTCATTGGTGGTAATGCTCACTCGCGTTTAGGAGCCAGTCAACTGCGGGGTCGTCGGATCGTCGCATTCAGCACAGGGAGGACTTGTGATGACCTTGGTGGGCTTGGTAGGACTCGATTGCGAGGATGACGAACGCCCGGCAGGCAACGGGGCGGGAGGTGCGGGAATTCCGAGGGCGTCCTCAGGGCATCCATTGTCTTGAGGGTGACGCAATAGGTTGAATGGAGGAAGACTCAGAATGATCATTCGGGGTGTTGATTGAATCCAATGTCAGTGGTCAAAAGGCGCATATGCTCAAAGGGCTGCTGTATCTTGCTGTAAGTCATCTGTTAGCGCACGGCAGCGCACCAGTGAGGCGCTGAAAGGCGGAAGCAGTGGTGATTAGACGATGCAAGGGTCGGACCGCCATTTTACTGTAAAGTGTACCTAATCGCTGTGCAGAAAGGCGGGCATGCAGTTGGTTTACCTTGTCCTCAGTCATCTCCGCCTCGACGGGAGGTTTGTTTGGATGCATAATTGTTGGCTTTTGTTGGTGACAGGTAACGAAATGTGGAAGAATCACAAAGTGGAAGAAGCCAACTGGGCCGCCCTCCCGCCCTGTAGCGGCCCTGGTCTGTGCCCCACCCGCCGCAAACGAGGCCGGTTGGCCGGTTGATCGCCGGCGGTCCCCACACGGCGCAAGCGCCGCGGAGGCTGCGGCGGGGACGGGAACCTCCACAGCTCGGCAAAATCTCTCCACTCCGCGGATGAGGTGCCTTGCAGCCAAGTGGATACTGTAGCTCGGACGACAACCGGCGAGACGACATCGCTTCTTTCCCTCTTGTCAAATTCGATCCTGCTGTTATAAAACAGCCAGCAGATAGGGAAGGGATATCACATCTCGCCTCCCACTTGACGACCAACAAATGAGTCAAGCCAGTTTTTGTTGCCCAATCACCCCACGGCATGAGGTCAGGTGGACTCCGCCATCGTCTTGCCAAATCCATACATCCACTCGAGCTCGACTCTCAACAGAAAGTCCATAAGTCCCAACTCAGCCAACTTTTGACCTACCATTCTACACAAAAAATACAACACACCATTGCGACGATCGAATGCAACTTCCTAAACCGCTCGCAGCATCTGGCACCACCACTGCACCCATCACGAACTGAACTCGCAATCGCAATGCGCAACCCAACCTGCCATTAAACAGCTGCCAACCTTCTTTTTTTCAGCTCTGCGGTCTGCGGACACCCGAGCCGGGATGGTAATGTAGTGTACCGTTCCCGTCCGGAACTCAGCCTTATGATAGATGATGCTGTCTGTCGAACGAGAAAGCACAAGGCCAAAAACGCGGCCGTGACACCGCCATGATGCAGTGGTATCATGATATTGCCGGTCAAAATAACAGCTAGGCAGCTACTTTATGTTCTTCTCTTTAGTTCCTTCGTCCCAATCACTTAGCCGTCGCAAGTCTAAGCCTCCCACTCAACTCGCCTCATCCTTGTCTTCTCACACAAGTTTTGGCCCCCAACGCCATTGGTTCACTTACTATGCAGTAGGTTGTGAGCAATGTGAGGGTACCACTCGCCTATCATCCACCAACCACGAGGCCGAATGTTCAATTGCCGATAGGTAATAGTAAAAGGTCAGTAGGTGCTCCAAAAATGGGTAAAGCTCAAGAGTTGATTTCCCGTTGTTGTTATCTCAGGGTATCATTCTCTCCTCGTTGTTTTTCCTACTTATTTTTCCATCTGTTTCTAGGTTGTTGCTGATCCTTTTCTGGGAGGTTATTTCCAACTACGCTACTGATGCGGGCTTTTAGTTGGAACCAAAACAAAAAGCCCTTTTTAAACTCGCCGCAGCAGCGTTATGATTGGCCCAACAGCCGCCGTGATGAACGCATGGGGTTGCACGGCATTTGTGCGGCACCGTGTGCCCTCTCTTTCTTGGCTTGGCTACCTTAGCCTTGGCTTACCACCAACCATACCCGGCAGTCCGGCCAGACGCACACGAGCGAGCCAGCGAGGGAAAGGGATCGGGCTTCCACCATTTGTCCTTCCGCCATTTGTCCTTCCTTTCCTCACTCATCTTCCGT